GTTCTTGAGCCACGTCGTACAGCCGGTGTTGGGCGCTTGGTGTATGTACTGGGCGACCGGCCTGAGAGGGGAGGAAGCTCTTGTTGTAGCTGCTGCGGAACCGGAGGCGTCTGCGTAGAACAAGACTGCACTTCGTACGAGGTTTGTTGATAGTACCAATGCCCATAACACGATGTTCTGTCTTGCGCAACTCGTGCCAGTGCGTGATGACAGCGTCCTGAATGGTCGAATCACCGAGTATCGGCGATGTGATCAGCTATCCAATTTATAAACTTGACGATGAAAGACAAGGCTGTCATGAAGGAAAGACGTCAAATGTCCAGCTCGGGCTCGCTCGACGACGCGCCGTCCCCCTCAGGCTCAAAGTCATCGTCGTCTTCTTGGCCCTCGTCAGAAACGTCGCTGCTTCTGAACTCTGGCTCTACAGGATCGGAGGAAGGTACCGCGGAAGATTTGGTTGGCGAGCGCTTGATGGAGATAACGAGCGGCGACGGCGCGCTAGACCTACGGATGCGTTACAAACGATCAATACGCGAAGAAGACTCAGGGAAATTACGCACTTGGTCAACGAGGCCGCGATCTCGGGAAAGCGCAACATACACCTCTGACGATGTCCGCGCGGTCCCTCCCACTGATGCGCATAATTCATATTCGCGCTGATCTTGATCCACCCGCCGCAGAGCTTGCATAGCACCTTATCGTGTCCAATTGCGCGAACGAGCGGGTCCTGCAGAAGTTCGGCCTTGCGCGCCGCGATGGACCGAAGCAACGACACGCTGAGACCGGCGTCGTCGTCGTCGTCGTGTTGACTTTCGTCCTCTTCGCCTGAGCCTGAGCCTTCTGGAGGTGAGGTGGGATCGACGTCGATCGGGCTGTCCTCCTGCGCCTGTTGCGCCGCAAGCCAATGCTGAAACGTCTCCGAATCACTCTCGCTCGAGTCAAGTTTAGGTGCCGTAGGCGGAAGCGTCTGCGAAACCCCATCAGCCAGCGATTAACTGAGAGCGCAGTCTGGGAAAACATACGTAGAACGAACACCTGTCGTCGAGATGCTTCTCCCACGACCCGCACCCCGTCCACTTGCCGCATCCATTACACTGCAACTTCTCGCCCCTGATCCTCCGAATACGGAACGGCTGCGGGAACCACACTTCCGCCACCTGTGCCTCTCCCGACCTGTCCGCACTCGTCAACACCCATCCAACAGCACAGTGCAGAACACGTACACCTTCTCGCGCCGCTCTGCGTTATGCGGACAACACAACTTATGCCCCTTGGCGCCGTACCACTTCTTGGCGCCGTTATAATTCTCGCGTAAGACGATCCACGATTCGCAGCCGCGGCATTGGACGGTGTTGTCGTCCCCGACGGCACGAACGTCCGGGTCGTGCGTGAGTAGCATCTTGCGCTCGTCCCGGAGTTTACGTAATTCGTCGGCTGGGAGCTCGCTCAACGTCGCTGCGGTTGCGGAAGATGCGGATTTGCTCGTCTGCGTAGCGAGGGAGTCAGCACTATATTGAATGAACGGACTGGAGGGAAAGCGTACTGCGGTGGATACAGGCTTCTTAGGCGGCGCGGACGAAACCTGGACCTGAAGCTTGGACGTCGACGCGACCAGATTAGTCGACGTCGCGGGAAGACGCGGGACCAAGGTCGTGAGGGTAGGCAACTCGACGACGACGGTATCACGCTTCTCGTGCTGCAGTCCCCATGCCGACCTCGGTGTCTGCGAAACCCCAGACGTCGAAGACGGAACCAACCGTAATTCCTCTGGCATACGATCGTCCTCGTCGTCCTGGTCATCGTCGTACTCGTCCGGTCCGCTCGTCAAATCCGAAAGCTCATCCCCTCCCAAACCCAAACCCAAATCAACGCCGGACGTCTTGACCTTCTTCCTCTTCCGATTCGTCCTGCGCGACTTCTACACACGAAGAACAATCAAATTTTATATTCAGTGCGGAGGGGAGAAAGGGGGTAGTGACGGTATACTTACGATATCGGTACATTTCAAATGGTGCGCCTCCCAATTCTTGAACAGCGTCCACACGCCGCAGTTGTCGCATTGCGCCTGGTCGCCGTCGATCGTTCTCACGCGGGTGTCGGTGAGCAGTTCGGGCGGCACTTCAGCGGGCGGCTGGTCATCGTTTGCGCCGTACAGTTCGAGCTCTTTCAACCTACGGCGTGAGAGGATCAGCACTAGACAGGACGGCGACGGTGAAAGCAGAAAGGAATAAAGTGATAGAGACGGTGAAAGGAGCGAGGAAGGACTCGAGAGAGAAACGCGAACGGGAAGTCAAGAGAAACGCAAAGGGGAAGTCGGGAGAAAGACGCAGCGAAAGGCGCAGAGGAGAAGGGTGCGGCAGAAGAGGTGAGGCGCAGAACAAAGGAAAGAAGTAGAACAACAAGAACAAGTGAAGACGAAGACGCACCGTTTCGCCTCCCTCACAATCCTCGGACACAAACTCTTATGCCCCGTCCTTCCACTCCACTTCTTCGCACTAACAACCTCACCAACATGTACGTCCACCCACTTATTACACCCCCTACACCTCACAGCCCCCCGCTCGGGCGAGTACGACTCGACCCACTCGTCGCTCACGACGTCGTGCGTGTCGTCTTTGATGGAGGAGGAGGAGGGATTGGATGAAGGGGCGAATTTTCCGGACTCGAGACGTTTTTGAGACTTGACGAGCTCGGAACGGACGAGGCGCGCTGCGTCGGTGGTGGATTTCTTGCGGCGTTTCTTGCCCATGAACATGCTGCGTGCCGCGGGCGGTTTGCCCGGTCGTGGGACGCGCTGCAAGGGATGATATAGTCAGCATAAGGAAACGGAGCGGAAGGAGGAGTAGGTGTGTGAAGCCGAAAGGAAGAGATGTGTGATAGGGATCGGTAACAGCGAACGGAATGAAGGAATGGAAAGCAAAAGCGTAAGAAAAAGGAAAGACGAGTACGTACCCCACATTGCCTCGCAACATGATCCCCCGTACTCGCAACCAACGCCCTCAACCACCGTCCACACAACCCGCACTGCACCCTCTCGCCCGCGCGACTCCTTATCGTAAACCCCTCTGCGACGCCTACCTCCTCTTCCTCCTCATCACCACCCCGTTGGGGAGAAGGTGTTCCCTCCCCCTCAGAGCTTCCGGACTCGGACTCGGACTCGCTCCCATTCCAACTCTCCTGCTCGGACAAACTCGATACATCGTCCAATCCCAATTGTTGCGGTGCGGGCGAGGAAGTGTGTTGTATAGACGATAACGGCGACGATTGTTCCGGTTGTGCTTGGGGAGGAGGGGAGAGGTACCCCGCCCACGTGTCTTCCGGTACGAAATCGGGCGGGAGGACGGCCGCGAGCCAGTCGTCGTCTGCATCTGCTGGTTCTTGTTCTTGCGTGGGTTTGGGCGAGGGCGAGGGTTTGGGTGCGAAAGTGGAAGAGAAGGAAAGGCCGGGGATGGGTAGGTCCGCGTCGAACGAGACAGATGCAGCAGGAACGGATTCGGATGTTGGTGGAACAGGTAGGGCGGCTCCTGCGATGAGGATTGACGCGGGCGTGACGACTTCGGGCGTCATCTCGTTCTTCAGCGCAAGTGTGGCGCCGATGAGCCTGCACGATCAAAAGTTAGTTAGACCATCTGAACGCGCACGAATGAACGAATGTGGTACATACGATAAACCGGGGACCGTTCCTTCCATCGCCATCGGAGTGGGCGTCTCGTTTCTACTGCAATGGGATCCGCCTTCGTCAGTAACTTGCAAGCAAAAGCCGTCGAGATCCTGGCTGAACGTACCTCGTCGACGCATGCGGCGGTACGTCCTCCAGAACAGGCGTCGGCGGCGGACTCAAGAAACTCGCGTTCGAGTTGGAAACGGCGGTGGGCGGCGGCTCGTCTTCTTCGGTCTTGGGCGCGGGTGTGGGTGTCGGGGTACCAGCTAGCGCCCAATCTTCTTCGTCATCTTCCTCTTCCTCGTCCTCCTCGTCATCATCACCGTGTTCGGCTTCGTCAGCCTCAACGCGCTCGGATGCGGCTCTACTCGACGCGATGTCGGTATCGGTATCGCTCTCCTCGAGCTTCACAGGCCCAGACGCGGGATTGGTTTCCGGTCCATACAGAGCAGCGTAGTCCGAATCCGCATCGTCGCCGTTCGTGAGGTCGATAGCGCGGGCGGGCGTGACGGGCTCCGTTTTGAACGCAATCTGCACCGTGCGCGTGACCGGAGCGCGGGCGATAAGCGCCGGCGCCGAGGTTGACGCTGTGGAAGTAGACATTGACGTTGATGGGGCGCCGGATGGGGACCAGCTGACCGGGACCGGCGACGACGACGAGAGCGTCCTGGCAAGATGTGTGCCACTGTTGGAAGGCACGGTCGTCAACACAATGCTCAAAACCGACCGACACGACGTACGTGTTCACGCCGTCCGTTCGTAAGCGCTTCAGAGCATGGCCAGACGTCGTATCCTCCGGTGCCGAACGCTTCCCGCTGCCGTTGCCGTTGGGCGCCGTCGACGAGCTATGCGGGTGTCGGTGAACAAAGGACGACGACGAACAGCATCGCGCGTTGCCGCACTTGTGATTCATAGTCTATGCCACCCAATCAAGACAAGCGGTCGCAGCAGCCAAAACTCGAGCAGCGCGACAGGTTGGGAGATGAGCTCGCTCTGCTGCTGGGACAGCCTCGGACGTTTGGCTTGCGTCGTGGAACCAATGCCGGGACCACAACGAGATGCGCGATGTAGCGAGCGGGCGGGCGGAACGGCAGCGTGGTCCGTGACGACGACAATGGCGGGAAGAAAGAGTGAGCGACACCGATCCGATTCCGTCGTCCGGAAACGTTCCACTCCCGACTCTTCCGCTCGTACCTGCCTTCCACTTGAATACTAACATATACAGTGTGTTGAACACGCACCGACTGGTGACGGCCCAAGGGGACCCAAAATCGGCAAAAGCTTTGCACGATCTCTGCACCGCATGTGCAGAAGCATCAAAACGAACACCAAGCCCTAGTGGCCCACGGCGGGCTTGAACCGCCAACCTTCGAGTTATTAGCTCGACGCGCTAACCAATTGCGCCAGCAGGCCGTGAGCGTCCTTTTTCCCGATCCTATCAAGATATGCCGGAAGTGCCGTGATTTCGTTATCGATTCCGCGCGCTCTTCCGTCGGAACAGTTCAAGTTCGACGGCACAGACCGGACGTCCGCTGTTGAACGTTGATCTTGACTCTTCCCCACCATGCGCGTCATCGAGGACCCGATTTTCCGCGATTGGCCTTTCCACGGCGAGGTCGTCGACGAAGACTACTTTGGCCAATTCGTGGTACTCTCTTTCGACCCTTTGGCCTCTGTAGCTTCATTGCAGGATCCAACGGCGAATGAAGCCGCTGCTCAGCTGCCGCGCGTCAAGTACCTAGCCTTAGTCGTCAGCGTGCGTCTCGTTCCTGCAGTCACGCGCTGAAGTTACATAACCAGCTTCGTATACGAGTAGATCGGAAGTGCAAGTGCTCGTCTGCTCAACGATGATGAGGACTTCAAGCTGGGTCTAGAGTTCTGGCTCATCGGAAACGGTCTCCCAGTCGACCACCCAACTGCAGCCATTCCAATCTTCCCAGCTTCGCACCATCCTACAAATCGGCCTGCTGTACATCCTACTGGCGGTAGTCTCCCGTCACGGTGGACCGATCTTTACGTTCACACCTTGGCCACCTTTTCCGCTGTCGTCTCGCGCGTTCACATCGGCGCCTCGCCGTGCGACGCGCGTCTCGTCGAAAGCGTTGCACGCGGCATGAAGACGACTGCTATGAAAGACAGTTTCGACAGTACAAAAGAAGCACGGGACTTGCAGATGCAACAACTAAGGGATGCGGACAGGGAACGCGCCGCGCGTGGATCGGACGCGTCATTGAGGTGACGCTCTCTAAGTCACTTTCACACTCTGATACAGTCTGACGCAGCGAACGCACCCCATCGATTTCGGATTCAGAGCTCGAGGTAGTAGATGAAGATACCGAGGAGATATACCGCAAGTTATCGCAGACGGCCGTTTTCGTCGAGGTATGGCTAGACCTGACCGATAAAGAGGGGATCTGCTTCGAGGACGTCAAGGAATTCGCCGCCCCTATCCCCCAACTACGCAGGTGCGCGTTCGGGTCGCTCATACAGAACTTTCCCGCTTGATCTGACCAACATATAGGATCTGGGCTGAGTGGGAAGAGCGCATGCTCGCCGAGAAATCAGCAAAGCAGACATCGGCATGGGCTGAGGCCGCTGCGACTGCGGTCCCCCTGAATGATCTAGACCGGGACAATGATTACTCAGTTCATCCCATCGACGCGGACCTCGGTGATGCCGCCATCGCACCAGAGGATGCGATAGATTATAAGATAGAAGAAGGTGCGATATAGCTCCCCATAGTGCGTTGTATTGTACGTCTCGTCTAAACCATTGCCAGCGCGCAGGAAACACGCCGCGACGGTCAGCGCGCCGCCTGTAGCAGCTGGATCGCTCTCTCCGGCCAGCAACACTCATTTGCCTCAGGCGGAGCTTGGCGATACTGAACCGCCAAGAGTGCCTAGTTCCGGCGCCCCTTGTGCGTTTACAAAGAGTGTTCAGCTTTTGCAGTTATAGCGCTGACGTCTTTGTAGCTCCCCAGCCTCGCACTATTCTGTTCAGATGCCTCTCGTATCTTGCTTCACGTATTCGTCGACTCGCTGTCGGGGGCAGACGGTCTACGTAATCCTACTCGCTCGCTCGTCTCCTTTGAAATTCGCGACCCTCTCCTCCCCGGGCGGCTCTGTTCTCTGAGCGGTGTTGTGCATTAACAATCATGGCATGACTATAGTACTGTGGGCAGCTCACGATGTGGATGGAGACTTAGGCCAATCACCGTATCCCGACTATGCCCTTATATAGAGTAAGGGTACAGCTGCAGGCGTGAGAGATTGCAAACTTTCCTGCAGGTATAGATCATGTTCCTCACCGTGGCACATCCTAAGGAGGTCGAATATGTCGCGTCGTGCTCACGGTGCAACTACTTTGGGTTCAGCTTCGCCTTCCCCGTGCCGACGCCCTGAGTGTGTGTTTACGAGCTAGCATCTACGAGGGAGGTACATCATTGACAAGAGAATGGGAGCTCACACGTGGAACCGGACTTTCGCCTCTCACATGAAAATCTGGGTGGGACAAGTGAAAGACCGGGGAGCTTACGACATACGTAGGTCACACGGTTGACAAGCTTTTTGAGATAACATCTATCTACTTTTGGTACAAGCATCGAATTTCTGTTTTGCCCACCCGCGCCAGAACGCAACGCCGGCAGGCCAGACTTCGCGATCAGGCCTGGACGTCGATAACCTCTACCAAATCGGAGAGTCGCGCGATGATCTGGTCGTCGAGGTCAAGGCCCTCGAGACGGAGATGTCCCAAAGCGCGAATCGCGTGACCGCTGGACGTATCTTGAATGTAGTTCGCGCGAGTCTCTAGGAGGGCAACGAGGTTCCTCCCGATGTCCTCCGGGTCCACAGCTTCCCACCGACTCAGATGGCCATCCACGACCAAGCTTTCAAGCGGGGGAACGGGAATGGTGTCTAGTGCTGACCAGATGCCAAGAAAGTGGGCGAGGACCGGCGAGTTGGAAATCCGCAGGCGAGTGACGCTCGAGAGCCGGGCTAGGAAAGGTATAGTCTCGTTGTTCGCCATCGTAAGCTCGAGATCGCAAAGAGTGGGCATAGAAGGAAGCCGAAGCCGTATCATAGGTGTGCCGCTGAACCAATACCATGGCTGGGTATGGATCTTTAGCGAACGAATCAATGGGATGGTGCGACATGGTATGCATCCCAAGATGTAACCAGGCTCGACATCGAGAACCGTCAGGTTCTGAAACATCACAGGTGCGACTACAGTAGCAATACCCATGTCTCGATTGTCGCTCACCGTCGTGCGTCGACAGAGGTGAAGTTTCAGCTCGCCCAACTCGGGGCAGCCGGCATTTAATAGAGCGAAGTCAGGGAGGGATCCCTGAAAAGACAGGTCGAGCGAGCGAATACAACAGTGCGCAAACTTCCTCCAGTCGGGCCCATTGAGAACGACGGTGTCCAGCAGTGGTGCGAATGGGAGAAGCCGGGGGTCCGTGGTGTTTGACTTGCCGTATCTCTTCGAAACTGTGCTCCCGACCACTTTGAGACGTCGAAGATGGGGTGTGTCGACCTTAAGGAGACTCATGATGCTCTCCTCGAAAGGTATTTTCCAGGTGTAGCTGGTAGGGTCCTGGATCGGCAACTCGACAATACGGATGGACGATGCGCGCGAGATGAGTCGTGACACGGGCGACGCGACAGCCTTTATGCCAGCCATAGTCGCCATTCTGTCCTCGGCCGTATAACATATGTACCTGTCGGTCACCAGACGCAAGGCAAGCGGCACCGTTCCCAGTCGCGACAAAACGATATGCACCACTTCCGAGAGATCCGGTCCTGGCTTAGGAACATAGACACAGACGCGCGACCACAGCTGTCCGTATGCTACTGCAAGAGTGCGCCAACGAGAGCAGACACAAGCAATGGTGAATGCGAGCTGTAGTTCGCTGCCGTCCGCTGCGGCTGCCCTCTGAGCAGCATAGAAAATCTCCAGCAGCACGTCGTCGGGAAGCCCGTTGATGGACGAAGTACCGAAGACGGAGTTGCAAACGAGAACTCCTGCCATAGTTACGTCGACTGCGTCGGAAATGCGCGATGTGGCGGTCGGAAGCCAAGAGGCGACTATATTTGCAGCTGTTTGGATGAGCGCTTTCACCCGGCCCTCGACCTTCGACGTCCGATCGCTTTCCTCGTCTCTAGTCCGTAAGCCCTGAGCCTGATTCTATGGCTTTAAATCTTTCGCATTTTGTTTTTTGCGCCCCGCTGACTTCTCCGCGACTCCTGCGGCTGTCCCGGCTCTACGTTATTCAATACCAGTACTTATGCTTCTCGTAGGCGGGCAGAGGCTGCACATATCAACACGAGAGGGGTGGGCGGCTCGAGCACATAAACTATACATCTTCTACTTAGGCCCTGACAACCAGAAGTTGCTCAAGCATTGCCATCATCTTTTCTAGTTTCGCGTCCACTCCGTCCATGCGCCCACTCATAGCTTCCACCCGCAAGGCCATATCGTCGATTCGACTGTTCACTTCGTCGATGCCTGTCTGGAGGCCCATGACAGACTGTGTCGCTGCATCTGTGTTGTACACCATCCGCGGACCCGCAGCACCTGGCGCGTTTATGTCGCGCACTAGGACGAGGAAGTGGTCACTTGCGGAGTGGCCGAGTGCGCCTGTGAACGCGGTCTGGCCGGCACATCGCTCGCACAAGCAACAGGATCCGCTAATATCTGGACTCGGGGCGCAAGATTGTAAGAGGGTGAAGTGCAACGGTATGAGGGTAAAGCGAGCATACCAGGGCAGGTGAGGCAGCAATAGAAGCTGTTATTCAGGTCCCAGCCGCACTCGTCGCACCCCAGTGTACCGTTCCTTCCGACAGCGCCTGAACCGTCTGAGCTTCGGGGTATTGCTTGGTGCAGGTGCTCCCGCCCCTCTTCCCTTGTCATCGCGTCCCACAGTTTGCAAACCTCGACGCTGAGCAATAACATGTTGTGTTTAACGGTGTGAGAGGCTTGACGTTCGCGATGCTGCTCCGTAGGTCGACCAACGCAGTGTCGACATAGATTGTAGTCAACTGCAAATAGGGAGATCAGAATGATGCGCCACTTTGCCCCTTGATTGAAAGTCTTACTGTCTACGCAGTCGAGGCATTCGTATCTGTCGCCGACTATCGGCTTCGCTCGACATCCGTTGCATCTAAAGGAACTGCATCGAATCTGAGCACATGTGACATACCTGACGTCTGAGAGTGCTGACCTATGAATTACCATCGTCCTGCGCACTTGAAGCTCTCCTAGAGCGTCGCAGTAGGCACGGTCTTGAGGAGACAGGACGAGCCTCAGCTGTGCCAATATATCAGCTGCCGTGGTTGGGAGATGCGTCGGGCCACCACTAGTCAAGGATTGGAGGATCGCAAGTGGCACAAGGTCCGCGTACTGTCGCATCCGAG